TGTATGGTCTTGTGGGAAAAACGAAGTTTGCAAAAGCTTGCTTTTCATCTCAAACTCGCTGTCAATAAAATGAACTGTCAAGCTCAAATACGGTTCTGCAGTTCTGCTTGACCATAAGTCGGTCGTGGCAGCAAAATATTCAAGGCTGAGAATTTCTCTTTCTATTTCTTTTCGTCATTCCGCATACAGCGAGGGCAGCGCAACATTGGAAAAATGGTTGCGTGAGGGAATGTTATATCTTTTATCAAGTGTTGTGATCATTTTTTTAAACCCCTCACTGCTCACGGTGGTTATTGGACACATATCCTTGGCTATATGGTACGTGATCGCCTCTGTTATTTCCCGGTGTCTTTGCGAGCTAGGCAGATATGGTATTGCGTTGAACAATGTCCCTGATATTGTTGTCTGTGTTGTAGATGGCTGGGAATTTTTTGTTGTTGCTGTTTGTGCCTTCAGTCGTTGAAATTCTTGATAGTGTACTTTGTGGTGGCTTTTAAGGTGGTTGATGAGGTTTGTTGTGTTACCTTGGGACGTCTGGACGGAACAGGAGCAAAGTTTGCACAAGACTCGTACCTGATCAACATCACATTCCTCGAAACCGAAATAGTTCCAGACGACTGAGTATGACCCCTTTTTAGGAACTAACGATCGCACTTCTGCACTTCCCTCACGTTGCTCCGCCATCATATGTTTATTCTGACTGACTGTTATTGCTGCTATTGACTTCTACTGCTTCAGAAAGCGCTTGCAATCTAGACGCAGTAACGTCATAGTGACGCAGTCCAATCCGTAAACTCCGCCCATAAAAAAGTTTGGTCTTTATACTGTAAAATCGCGACGATATTTATTAACTGATCGTGGGTCATAAATATCGTTATCATGATAAAAATACGATTTATCGTGCAGCCCTACTCTCCACCACGATAAGGTGTCGGCTCCAGGAGAGGATTATATAATCCTTTTTCACCAAATTTAAAAATAGGATTTAAACAACCTTTCATATAATTCATCATCCTCTTCATCTGACTCTTCTGGAAGGAATTTGTTGTGTGGATTGTCACATCTTTGATTTTGACAGGATCCTCAGGCAGTAGTGCATGGTAATCCATATCGTCTACAACAGCAGCGGTGTGTCTTGCAGGAGTTGGTGCAGTTACAATGAATAACTTTCAGTAGATTATCAGGAGCAGCATTAATTCTTGACATGATTGGGATGAACTGATTATCCAGCAAGTTCCACCCCCAGTTTTTGGCATTCATACCCTCTGCCTTTCCCATCCAGATCATAACCTGGTAGTATACTCTGCGACAGTGAAGTTCAGTAGCAGATTCAGTTGGAGGCAGGCGCTCGGGTGCTACAAATGATGAAGCAGAAGCAACCTTTTTGCTGAAGATGTTGTGCCGTAATGTTGCAAGAGAATCTGTGTTCTTCCCACCAAAGAGTACAGCCATTCCTTGCCATCCTAATTCATCGATTATTTCTGTGGTCTGATTTGGGATGGTAAAAGTATTAGCACATGACTGAAGGAAAGGATCTCCTTTTAAAAGCTTCTGGAAAGCAGTCTTTTTTTCCCCCACACCAAAAATCCGTGATGTTGTGTCACAACCTGTCATGGCATGGACAAATAACAACTGAGGACATACCTCATGTCCAAAAACTTCTTTGACATGGTTAATGTCATACTCTTTAGGGCTACCTGCAGCTCTCGACCTGTCTGATTTGAAGTACAGACTCTTATTATCTTGTTGTGCATAGTAACAAAGTAAGACGAGGAGAGCTGTATCTTCTCCGATCAGAGTAGTTGTGCGCAGAAGAGATGCCTCAACCGCTGCTTTCACTATGTCAACATCAGCATCACCAGTTGCATTGATTACAGTGCAACCCCTTTTTCTCAGTTCCTCACTCACCATCTTGATGTGTTTCTGCTTATTGACATCTCTTGAAAGAAACTCTTCCCAGAGAATTCTGTGTCAGCAGTGAAGCTGACAACTGGATGAATATTGTGTCCTCTCCTCAGATGTGTATTGTCCTTAATAGTTGGCCCTTCTTCATAGCCATCAAAGACAATGGTTGGGGCTGAACCATAATGCCAGATTGTGAAGTCAGCATATGAGCGTGCGATTCCACCATAACTTTCTCCATGTCTGATGGCATGAGCTAGTTGAGGCTTATCAGCCTTTCGGAAAATGTTCCTGGCTTCAAAGAGGGCAGGAGGAAAAGGATTAAGTTCCTAATTCATGACCTCCTGCAATGACAACTCAGCAGATTTGGAGACTACTAGGAGCCTTTGAAATAAAAGAACAGAGTCAATGCTTCGATCAGGAGCAACCTTGATTGCTGATGTTTCTCCAAGGGTTATTGCCTTATCCTTTCTGCTGAAGCATATCGTGAATACAGGCTGTCCAATCATTTTTTGCATAATTTTGCTTGAGTCAAAATAGGGAAGAACCACTTGTGAACTTCTAGGCGAATAACGATGTTTAACAGTGTGACTGGTAACCGATGTCAATACAAATGTCTTGGTTTGCCCAGGGTATTTTTTCAAGGAATTACAGTTACACTCCCTTAACTAGTTTTCCCATTGGTTATGTACACAGTATTGGTGAATGCAAAGTTTTTCTAAATGCATTTCTCACATTGTAACAGGACTGACTGTAGTTAGGTATCTGACTGATCAACTGGAAGTTCTTTACTGGCATAACTTGAGTGGGGTGATGTCTATTACTCACAGGCCTGTGGTTTCAGGTTTACAAGGGCAAACAGTGTGAGACATACATTGATGCCAGGAGAGAATCACACTCCAACTGGATGAGGTGAGATGACACCATTACTGAGTCTCTGTCCGTGCTGCAGTCATACATACATACATATGGTATGTATACTGGTCATGTCTGCCTCTGCCTGTGTGTCAGGTATGTGAACTGTGCCCGTGATGAGGAGGAGCAGAACCTGGTGGCCTTCCAGCACAAAGGGAACATCTTATATCGCTGCTGCAAGCCCATTGCCCCCAGGCAGGAGCTCCTGGTATGGTACGGGGAAGATTATGCCAAGGATCTGGGCATCACCTTTGACTGCTCTTCAAAAGGTATTTTTGTTTCTTGTACCTTTGTCATCTTTTTTTTTTTATTTCTATTAACCCTGTCCCATCTCAGTACTGACTGACTTGTCTCTATCTTGTCCCCAGCAAGGAGAGCGGTGGAATCCTACCAAGGATTCCCATGTTCTCAGTGTCCCTTGTCCTTCGCAGTGGAGATTTACCTGCAGAGACACATCAAAAGATCTCACCCTGAGGAGTACTTCACATAGCTGATGGCTGTGTCTCTCAACACAGCCCAGCATTTCACAACTTCTATTGACCCCAGTGCTGCTCAGCCCAGTACCAACACACTCGGTACCCTGGAAGAAGCAGAAACAATCAATATGAAAAGCAGTTGTAAAATTCACCAACAGACTCTCATGGAGGAGAGGCCCCACCAGTGCTCCGAATGTGGGGGGAGCTTCAGTCATTTAGGAAACCTAAAGAGACACCAGCGGAGTCACACAGGGGAGAGGCCCTACCAGTGCTCCCAGTGTGAGAAGAGCTTCAGTCATTTAGGAAACCTAAAGATACACCAGCGGACTCACTGAGTTCAGTCCTTTGTTACAGTCAATCAAATAAGTGTATATTCTTGAATTCTTTACAAAGTATTTTTTGCTTTGAAGTTGTAGGTGTGGATTTTAGAGTTTTGTTTGTCACGTATATTCAGAGAGGCAATGTTTTATAGTATAGAATATGTTGAAGGTAGTCTTTAGCTACAAAACACTGAATTAGACACTTGCAAAATTCCATTGAATACTAATGAAACTCAAATGTCATTCAGTGAGCTTTTTCTGTTATCTGTTAGAAGTGATACCAGTTTATGTTGGGGTCAACAGATCCAGTCTGGGAAACCTTTACAACCAGCGGCAGCTTTCATA